ATGGATGTGATGAAATTCTCTTCAGGATGACAGCTAAGTTGAACAGCGACAGGTATCAGTAAATTTATTTGATTAAGCATATAGCGAGAGATTCTTTGAAACGCAGTTTGAAGACTATGGTAAAAAAAATTGGTCCGGTTGGCAAAGAAAAATTCTCAAAGGCGTTTCCCCATTCGGTTCCTCGATAAAGAAATGGAAAATTAGCGACTTGCCTATTGAACGGATACTACTGTAATAATATGCTAAAAGTAATTGGGACCTCACAAATAAATAACAAAATGGGACCTCACATATAAATAACAAAAGTAACAAACCTAAGAAGCTAAGATGTTGATAGAGTTTAGGATATATATTAGGATACTTCTTAGTGGTAAATGTTTACAGGAAGGTGGTAAATAGGAAACTTATGAGAAATCAGTAAGACGAGGGAACTCTAGACGGAAAGGTAGAATAGGAAAGTTGGAGATTCGACCTTTGAAATTATAGAAAGATTATAAGAAACGTAGGTCTTGGCTATGGAAACTGGATCCCTGACAAAACTGACGACCACGCTTCAATGCAATGCAATCACAGCAGCACATCTATACCAGCATCACCAGTACCATCTGCAATTAACACAAGGCCTTCAGGAACAACATCCTCATAAGAACATTGGTAGCCTCATAGCAACATTGGTAGCCTCATAACAACATTGGTAGCCTCATAACAACATTGGTAGCCTCATAACAACATTGGTAGCCTCATAACAACATTAACAACATTAGTAGCCTCATAACAACATTGGTAGCCTCATAACAACATTAGTAGCCTCATAACAACATTGGTAGCCTCATAACAACATTGGTAGCCAGCAGTGCACGCAGTTCGTGGAAGTAACAGGTAATAGCCACGGCGCAAGGCTGGCATGGTCGCTCGTGTCAATGACATCAGGATGTCCGTGCGCTGCTATACAGCAATGAGCTGCGGTGTGGCAAACGCGGAGGAATGTTTCATGCTGAGCTGTGCACGGTATTATTGCTGTACACAGCATTATAGGGTTGCTGCATGTCTCATGCTGCGCTGTAGCACCGCAGACTAAATAGAGCTACGGAAAAATATATGTTCAGATTTGAAATGCCTAGCACCACATCGAACCCTTAGGAAGTCTAGTAGCTACTTCAAACTATCGTCAGTCATGATACGAAAAGATCCGGTCAAATGACACGATTTTAGATCTTCTGTGAACAAGGCACGAAAATCGGCGACAGGCCACATCAGGCCTACACTTCAGCGTCGAGATCACTTGATATGTAATGTTATTATATAGTGCGGCCCAATTTGTTGCATTCTATGTAGCTAAGAATCACGTGTTAATCGCCCTACAGGAGTAAAGGATTTACGTTCACATTGTTTACAATTCAGTCCAAATTATTTGTCCTACATTTAAAAAGCATTTGTTGCAAATCCAGTATTATATCAAACCATGTCATCACAACAGCTATAGAGAACATCCCGGCCTCATCGATGCAAAATTAATTATTCATTTATTCGTCCAATTGAAGAGTTCAAATCGTCTTCTCGTTACACAATTTGAAGTACTTAAAAGTATTAGAATTCTGACTGGTTCATTGATCAAATTAATTAAATTAATTAATAAGTTTATTGATTAAATCAGATACACCATACAAGACTTTTATAGGAAAAAGTTTTGGCGTTTATCATGACAAGAATCGAATAAAGAGTGGTCGTTGACTCGTTCACTACGCGAGCTGTTCATAACCAAACTCCTCAATTAATACACTTTTGGAATTCCAATTTTTTTCACAAATGCAGTGAACGAATGAGAGAATTTCCTCAAGTGCTATAAAGGATTCGTTTATTTCTAGTTCACTTAACTTCTCGGTACAAACAAGGATAGAGGATTTGGCATGCGCGCTGCCTGAATACCCATGAAACTTCACTCAAACTGGGTAAAAAGATGACTACGTATGGTACACAAATTTTCATTGGTATTGCAGCACGCAGATTTTAATGCAGACATATATTGCTGCCTCTTCAATTCAACTGTTCGTTCTGAACGTTTCACAGGCCTAAACCAAAAACTAAGAGATTTCTCTTAAGTAGGTCGACACTTGCATGCGTGCGAACACTGCAGCGCCTTTGGCCAATGCCCCATTGCGAGGTCCAAACATGATGAACTCTTACAGAGAAAATTGCCTTGGCTCCATATGTGGGCAGTCGACGCGGGCACGTTCTTCCTGTTCATTACAGTCTCCCCACCTACAGCTCTCTAGTATGGAGATTCGTAACGTTGTAGCTCTTCGTGAATTTCTGACACATTTTCCTCTTCTATTTTAAAGTCTTGCTGAACCTTCAGAACGTTGTAGCCTGTCGTGAATTTCTGACACATTTCTCTTTCATTTTAAAGTCTTGCTGAACCTTCAGAATAAAGTCCTGCTGAACCTTCAGAACGTTGTAGCCTGTCGTGAATTTCTGACACATTTCTCTTTCATTTTAAAGTCTTGCTGAACCTTCAGAACGTAGCCTGTCGTGAATTTCTGACACATCTTTCTCGTTGATTTTAAAGTCTTTCTGACCCTTCAGTTTGCAGCTAACGGTAACTAGCCCCGGTTGAGGAGTGAGGCCAAATGGGTGACAGCTCGGACATGCTTTTTATGTAAGATGCCTAAATTGGCACGTACGTATATGGCGGCAAGCACAAGTCGGTGATCGATCACTGACGTCTGGAATGCATCTTGCTCGTCCCATTTGAACTAGTAAGTTTAATTGCGTGTATTTTCGATAAAAAGAGCAATATTTTCTAAGCCGGATGGTTTTTTTATCATTCAATGTGGGATACTCGGCATTTAAATTTTTTAAGTTAATTTTGAGCATGAGAAATTTAGATATATAACATTACTTAATGAGAACTTAGAGGCTATTCTCGAGTCAAAGCATATGTTCTCTATAATTTTTCTCGACATATCTAGTTTCAGAAATCTCGCTTGATAATTTAAAAAAAGGCATAGCATCATATGCATTACATATATGCTGTTCTAAATAATGACTTGCCGAATTTGTAGCGTTCCATAATGATTTAACTAAACTTTTTACTGCCCTCTGTTAACAATTAACTGTAAAAGTATGGTCTTCATCCTCATTACTTCAAAAGATTCATAGCTTCTCTGATCATTACGATAATATTGGAATGAACGTTAACAGAAAAGATGGAGCTTATGCACATACATGATACATGAGTCGCAATACAATGCACATACATGATACATGAGTCGCAGTACAATGCACATACATGATACATGAGTCGCAGTACAATGCACATACATGATACATGAGTCGCAACTTTCTAGGTAATGCACTTTCCTCGCCACTCATTCATAATGAAAGTGTGATACATATCGGATATACGATTTGTAGATATTAATTTATAGCAAAAAAGTTGCCTAGATGTTTAGATACAACTAGAAAATTCGAATTTATTACGTTTCAGAAATATATTGCTTCTTTTTTAGACAGGCGACTTTAGTGGCATTGATAGACGTTAGGTATTTCCGATTGAAATGCCAAGCCCTTGATCAAATAAAGGTGTGTAGCATAGGTATGTTTATTTTTCATCTAATATCTATAAGATGGGTTTATAAATTTAATATAATTATAGATTTTAATTACAGTTTTTGCATGGCATCCACGCTGCAGCGATTATATACTCTAGACATAAGTAAGTGGATGGGTGCTTATTGCATATAAACTGTACGCAACTCAGAGGTCGTCAGTTTCATGGTATGCAATTTTTACGACTTTCATACTCAATGAATTTGTAAGATGTCGTCGCATGAGTATACATTTCTCAAACTTAGCGTAGAATTGACCTCTCAATGTCATGAATCACGGAGGAACAACTGAAAAAATTCCTTAAATTAAATATTCCCCCATGTGCATAAATGAATATATTTTACCTAATCTTACCGATAATAGTACCTATATTGTATATGTACTATTGTGCATGGCCAATATACGAACAATATAACACTGCAGCGAGTTTAGAGTCACATCGCCCCATGACACATGTTAATGAGCAACGTTCCTCAGTGTGATGTCAATAAATCAAGCGATGGGTGTACAATAAAACTGTTATTTGCTTGAGCCTGCGCTGGATTGCAGTGCAATGGACATAAGTAGCGCTCAGTCAACGAGATAAATCAAAGCTCAGTCCCTGATTGCTGGGCACCTGTTGACAAGTAGCCGCTGAGTGGGGCATGGAGACTGCAGCTGATTTGTGCCTGTGGCCCGCTCAGTCTTCATGATCAATTTGTCCCGTAGCAAATGAAGGGTTATTTTTAGCTCATTTTTTCGCTTCGAATCACCGACATGTGGAACAGCCTCCCCGATGACATCGTTGGAGCTCCAAGTATGAACGCGTTCAAGAACAGACTAGATAAAGCTATGGAAAAATATATGTTCAGATTTGAAATGCCTAGCTCCTCATCGAACCCGGTGGAAGTCTAGTAGCTTCTTCAAACTATCGTCAGTCATGAAAAGATCCGATCAAATGATACGAGTTTAGATCTATGAACAAGGCACGAAAAGGAAAAGAATCGGCGACAGGCCACATCAGGCCTACATTTCAGCGCCGACATCATTATGTTATGTTATGTTATGGAAAAAATGCCCTATTGTGCTCGTCGTGTCCGTCTGTCTAAATAAAATAAATAAAAATTAATTATAATCGATTATTAGCATAAATTTCTACATACCTAACGACTTCGATGAATTAAGTAACATTTGTAATATTCATTGAACAAATCACAGCATGTCTAAGCAAGTCAAGACCTAAAAGTATCTTATTTTCCAGATCGTAATATTTCAACGCGAATTTTTCCTCCCACATCTTATAGGTAACATCTGCATACAACGTAAGAGACATCCATGTAATTCTAGCGACCCTGCGAGGACAATAATCGTCCGTGATCCTGACCCTGGCCAAAGGACGCCAGTGAACGTACCTGCAGGAACGTGTGTGACAAGGCCGCTTCCTTCATGCACTCCCTACACTCAACTGACCCCGGAGCGCCAATGCAGCGAGATTTTCAAGCTCGGTTGGTTGCAGCTGAGGTGCCTCAACCGCAAGCCAACCTGTGACGTCACGCTTCTGACCAATGACCGGCCTTGCTGCGCGCCCCTCCATGGCGCAGCGGCCTCATTGGTTCCTCCTCCGCATTTCCGAGACAGCAATGCACCCCAAACGCCTGGGGCCGGAGCTCCAATTGTCCTGTGGCTTGCATGAGATCGTTTCTAATTTCCCTTATGGAGCTTTGGGTTACCTCGGCATAATTGTATTACGCATGGCGTGTAATTACGATTGTGAACTCATCAGTCATACACACACAAAATTTTTACACGCGCAAGTTTTCTTTGCGACGGCAATGCACCAAGCTGAAGAGGTAAAATACCAGTGAGTGGTGAATAAGAAATTTGTTACTAGGAGCATCTGAGTATCTGACTGAAGATTTTAGTATCCACGTCAACTCGCTACCATTTTTCGTAAACAGCATTTAGAATGTTCAATATAGTTTGTATTTATGTTCTCACGTCGCAAAGTTCCTAAAAAGCAATCGAGGATCTTCACAGCTGCAATATGCCCCTTACAATATTACATGAGCATTATGAAGTTCTGGCCGTTCGGCCTTTTTCTGACGAGATGCTATATCACCTGTTACAACAGCAGCTTTCAGTTTTCAGTGTAACTTTCTAAACAACCCTTCTTGCTAAATTAAGACTACAACACAATAAAAAAATAATTCAAGACAAATGTTGACACTTCAAGTCTGCAACTGGGAATAAAGCTGCAAAAACTCCGTAAACGTAGAATATTTTGATATCAAACATTAAACGGAAATTAGTCAACATTAGATAGAACCTCATACATGGGCATGACAGTTTCAAGATTGGCAAATGATTTCCAATTAATTCCACAATCAATTGACACCTAAACCATCTGTGATGGTTGACCTGAACTGCTTCTGAAAAATAGTCAGTATATACCTGCCGCTTATATTCCAATTGTGGGTTCATCTTTGCATTCTGTTTGGCTATAAAGTAGAAGAAACTAGCAGCAATTGTAGTTGAAGATGATTACTTACTTATGCGAACTGGTGACGATTCCAACTGTCTTTTACTATGGGTTTTTAGGTCTTAATTATTGTAATTTTCATTTATACCACGAATTATTTCATTATTTTGTAAATCATTAAATAAAAATCAATTTGTTTCGTTGTGATAAAATCAAAATCTTAATCATATTTATGACTAAAATTTTGGATGGAGTTTGGATCAATTTAATGTCTTTCGTTGACCATAAAAACGTTGGTTTTCTGCAGGGTTTATCAGCTGCATTACCGCAGGAAATATCAGCCGCTCCGTGGCCGTAGAAATGAGAATTGGCATTCACAGGAAGCCAGCGCGTTACTCGCCTGTAGATGCCAGTGACCCCACGAAGGCAAAGATTCCGATGAGACGACTGCATTGAGGCAGTATTACTTAATAGATTATCTGTACGCCAGCATCACTGGGAAATTAATGATTTTTCTGCGTGATGAGGCTAAGTGATGGTTTCGATGGCATAAAATACAATGGTATTTAGCCTTGAGGGAAAATCCAAGGTTCGGAAACATTTCTCATTTATATAAAAGCATAGGATCTTGAATATCAGCATTAAATAATTTTTTAAACATCATGACTCAAGTTGCAATTAAAAAGAAATCTTTGAATTGTGTGAAAAAATTTAGATCTGCACCCAGAATCGGTCTGAGATCAGTTTTTGCAATGGAATAATCATCAGTTAAATGCAAGGTGCAAAGTTCTCCTTATTAAGACCTGCAAAAAATCGAGCAGGATGTGAAGTGATCCCCAGACGCGTTTTTCGGCGTCTACTTTTCCCATGGGAAGAAATTCGATCGATCAAAAATGTGAAGAAAACAGGAAGAGTTTAATGCACTTGACTGCATTTTATTCACGGAGTGCAGAGCTGAACCCAAATTGGATAATTAGATGTTTTGCTGCATGCAGCTTTCGTTTTAAACCTACCTTTCGTTCATACAAATCTACTTGGATATCTTTAAAGATGTTTTCATGGATCACACTTCAGAAAATGATGTTTGCTGCGGGCCACATGCTGATATATGCCATTATAACCTTTGCAACATATACATCATCAGTAATAATTTTTAATATTCATTTTAAGCAGCGGCTCGTTATATATGTAACTTGGGCCTAGCCTTGATACAGGAGACGTACATTAATTACTTGACATTCCATTCTTGGTAACGCTTCAGGGGAGCGGAAGTATCGCGATTGTTGTTTTCTTCAGGCTTTCCAACTGCAAAGCTTGATTGAAATCATCTGTCATATTATGTCATCAGTTTCTTGCGCACTTGATTTGTGGTTTCAGACTTTCATTATCGGTCAAAACCTCAGCTCAACCACAGACCAAATTTGTTATTATGTTCTCTAAATAATTATAATTGGATCGGGGCACGACTGCTTTTTCACACCAAAAAAACGTGTGATATGGTGCTTGGCCTTTGACTTTGGCGTAGCACGATTTTTCTATATTTCGCATTGCTAAATGAATGTCACTGTCAAATTACAGAAAAAATTTTTATAATTTTATTGGCTAATATCAAACTATTGTGTGAATAATTCTAATTTCTATCACAATATGGCTTGTTTCTAGTATTTCCAAATGCGCATTTTGGTCTTATCGAAACAAGACCAAGAAATTGTTGAATATTATTTATGATTAAATTTTAAAACTAATTGCAAAAAAGGTAATACTGGCATCCCTAAATGTTTGAGGGAAGATCTTATTAGGCATAACTGCATTCCGGTCAAATAATCATAGTCGAGATTCTTGAGAAAAAGGTTCCCAAAAATTGATACCAAAGAGAGCGATGGCAGTAGTTAATAACGGTCAAAGTTGAAGCGGGGACCGATAAGAAGCGAGGTGGAGTTCCTGCGAGCCGAAGACACGAAGGACGGATTCCATGCAGTGGAGCCGAGTTCTTGAGAACCGAAGACACGAAGGACGCATTCCGTGCAGTGGCGCCGAGTTCCTACAAGCCGAAGACTGGCAGGACGCATTACGTGCAGTGGCGCCGAGTTCTTGAGAGCCGAAGACACGAAGGACGGATTCCATGCAGTGGCGCTGAGTTCCTGCGAGCCGAAGAACCGCAGGATGCATTGCGTGCAGTGGCACCGAGTTCCTGCGAGGCGAAGAACCGTAGGACGCATTCCGTGCAGTGGCGCTGAGTTCCTGCGAGCCGAAGATACGACGGACGCATTCCGTGCAGTGGCTCCGAGTTCTTGCGAGCCGAAGAACCGCAGGACGCAATCCATGCAGTGGCATCGAGATCAAGCTGAGCAAAACAATCATGAGGTTCCGGATACCCCCGCGACCGTCGTCCATGAACCGAGGCGCACCCTGCTCTCTTATTTCATACTCAATGTAATGATAGAGAATGATAAGACTAATTACTGAGGGAAGCCATATAGCGTCTCACCCATCATAATAAGATGTGATGATCATTTATCGATGCTGATTCATGTTAATTTTGGGTGTGCCGCCAATAACTGACTGAAGATGTCCGAACGAAAAAGCAAATTTAACATTATCCTGGCTAAAATATAGGTTGTGCAGATTTACAAATTGTAGCTAGATTATGAGACATCCGAATTTCAATTGCTCAATTGATACTGAGGTTGAATGTCTTAATTATTGCGTCTAAAATTCAAATGGAATGCCGTTGGTCTGTGGCATGTTGGATGCAGTAATTTCGTACTGCATCATCTGCCTGCATCTGCATCATCTGCATCATTTCTTTCTGCATCATCATTATTATTAAAAAACTTTGCCCTATATACGAGATATGGCAGATAATCAAATCCGACGACTTCTTTAATTAGCTTTGCATATACTTGAGATATTAAATAAAGTATTTCAATTACGAATGTCATGATATAGTGCTTTGAATTCAGAGTGAATACACACAATGTAAGGCTCTGTTCTAAAATTCGCAACTCATTTCATGGGTGATTCAGCGTCCATGCATCTCGTGGGCGTCTAAAATGAGGTCTAAATTACCCGACGTGACAAGGTGAAACAAATGTGAAGCCTGGTGAGGGCAATTGAGGGCATAAAATGGGCTAAACAAATAAAAGAACGTGGCCAGTGAAGCATTACATTCAATCCGTTGGTGTGGTAGCGATCGCCCAGGCATGATGATCGACTGAACAAAGTCTTGATTCTGTACTGGCCCACTATGGATGATTTCTACACCTGTTGTAATGCTATTCCTATCAGATGAGCGAACACCTGTTGTAATGCTATTCTTACCAGAATAGTGAACACCTGTTGTAATGCTATTCTTACCAGAATAGTGAACATCTGTTGTACTGCTATTCCTGCCAGAATATTGAACATCTGTTGTAATGCTATTCCTACCAGAATATTGAACATTTGTTGTAATGCTATTCCTACCAGAATAGTGAATACCTGTTGTAATGCTATTCCTGCCAGAATAGTGAACACCTCATGTAACGCTATTCCTGCCACAATACTGATCGAAACATCTGTTGTAATGCTATTCATGCCAGAATAGTGAACACCTGTTGTAATGCTATTCATGCCAGAATAGTGAACACCTGTTGTAATACTATTCCTGCCAGAATAGTGAACACCTGTTGTAATGCTATTCCTACCAGAATAGTGAACACCTATTGTAATGTTATTCCTGCCAGAATAGTGAACACCTGTTACAATGCTATTCCTGCCAGAATAGTGAACACCTATTGTAATGCTATTCCTGCCAGAATATTGAACATCTGTTGTAATGCTGTTCTTGCCAGAATAGTGTACACCTGTTGTAATGCTATTCCTACCAGAGCAGTAATTAAAATAATCAGGCGCCAGAGCGCCGATGCAGCGCATAGCGGATGAACCACAACGGGACTGCCTCGTGGGAGTGCACTTCTTTTGGTGTATTTTTATGTTGTTTTGTCGGCGGGCGCGAGAACACAAGGGCAC